TCACTTACTTATTCGAAAGTCACGGTTTAAATCACTGGTATGAAAAAGAAACGATATCAGATTCCATAGATGTTCATAAATAATGCTGTCGATCATCTCTAGTGGTGTAATTCCATTTCTGTGCTATCTATGCGGACAGCTTTTCGAAATGTTCAGCGTATATATTTAAAGGATTGCGTTAACTTTTCGGTAGGATTCAAGAAAACTCGCCCATAACCTTTTTTTGTAGGTAGTAAATTTAAATGCAATATACTGGTGCACATTTATATAAAAATGAAATAAAATAAACATAAAGGGTCCTGGTACTGTTTTTGAAAATAACCCTTGAAGTGCCCGCTTTCGAGTAGTGCGTGCAAAAACCACCAAATAGTATTAAATACATAAATTGTTTATATACGTACAATGTACGGCGATTACGCAGTATTATTTGAAAGGGAAAGAATGTATTAACTATCGAGGCGTATAGCCAGAATAAGAATCTACCTTTGATAAAACATTTCCAGCAAAAAAGCAAAGAAGCATATTCGGAAAAATGCACTTGAATAGTTTGTGAATTGACGGATTCAATTGGATGGAATTCTTTTGTTAACAACACAGACTCGCAAAAAATTTCATAAGCCTGAGATCAGACCAGCCTTTTTAGATGTTTTTAGGTCGCGAATTTGAAAGTATGTAATATGAATCTATTTAACCCCACACCGGAGATGAGAATGGGTGACAAACAGTTTTGTTCTTCGTTTGTGAAAAAAATAGGTGAATTATCTGATAATAAATAAAACAACTTGAGACTTAGTAATTTTTAGATCTAGCCCTTCAGCTTTAAAGAAAAAAGTTGAAACTGTTAAGTTGAGAATCACTTTTTAGGTCAAAGTATTCCTTACTATCATGATGGATATATTTTGGTACATTGGACCCTAGACTACGAATCATCTCACCTTCTTTCAAACGTACCCACATTGTCAACCATTCTGTATAAAGGCGGTATCCTTGAGAATATCCTCTCACCGACCATTTGATAACCTTCTCGTCACAATGATATATCAATCATCTAGGACCTCTTCCATTTCAGGGCCAACGTGATATGACGATGATTCTGCTTATTTCGCGGATGTACCCTATGGATAAACGACGATGTCGCCGGTCTTCCGGATTTTGGGTTGCAAATTAATGATGTCCCCTCGACAACAACCTCACGACGATATATAACCGACGGTCTCTCCTGACAACTAACAATCACATTTATTGCTCTATTTGATAATGGGGTTATAGAGTAAGATTACTTCCCAACTAGCAAATATATTTTATAATGTTCGACTGTCCCTACTTTATTACTGCCCTTGGAATGCCATTTTGTTTTATTGTAATTGAAAGTGAGACAATTAAACTTTTAAGAAGTACAGGGTGCGGCAGAGAGGACGGACGTTTTTGGGATGGGTAGTACTATCCGCCTCCGTATACGAGAGAGGTGGGGAGGGTGCCGTTTGACTCGTGAGATCCTAGCATTATTTTAAAAGGTGTCGTTATGGAGCCTTGGACGGTGGAGCACCGCGTTTTCGCCTATGATTGTTTCGTCCGAAATAATGAATCAGTCATCGTCGTACAGCGTGAGTTTCGTCGCCACTTCAAGATTCATCGGAATAGAGCTGTTCCCTCTCCAAACACCATCCTTCGTTGGGTTGAATCACTTCGCAGGCGTGGTGAACTGATCAACAGAATACCAAGAGGAACGCCGCGAACAGTTCGAACTCCTGAAAATGTTGAACGCGTTCGACAGGTCTTTCTTAGCAGTCCAACTCGATCTGCCCGGAAACATGCTGCTGCACTTCGCCTTAGTGGTCGTTCGGTAAGGCGAATTTTTCATATGGATCTCCGCTTTCACCCCTACAAATTGGCCATTGTGCAACAGTTACAGCCCGGAGATTATGCACAACGAATGAACTTCGCACGTGAGATGGAAGCACTGATCGATCAAAATGAGAACCTCATTTTGTTTATGAGTGTCGAAGCCCACTTTCACCTAAACAGCATGGTTAACCAGCAGAATTGTCGTTATTGGGCTAATGAAAATCCGCAACAGTTACACGAAAGACCAATGCACAGCCCAAAAGTAACGGATTGGTGCGTTGTATCGCAAACTTGGATGATTGGCCTTTACTTCTTCAAAGACGGTCACCGTCAGATTACAAATCGAATTTCTACTTGACTGGAATTGGTTGTATACTCGTATATCAGAAATAAATGCAACATGACTGATGTAGTTACTTAATCACATTCTATTTGCTAAAAAAGATCTAATGCTTGCCTTTCTGTTGTATCAAGCATCCTTGAAAAACAAATTATTCTCAGTGAGTGCAATTTAAAAACAAAATCAAACCTTTAGTGTTAGTCAAAACAAAAAAGCTTGATCTAAGATAATAAAACAACTTTTATAAAATTGGGTCATTCTAGTTTAAATAAAAATGTTTTGTCATTGTTGCATACTTTGTCTTATAATAATTTTAAAAACGTTTGAATAATCATCCGGTAAAAGTTGAGCAGTCGCAATAAAACAAATTGAAGAATTGCTGCAGAGAAATGTGCCCTAGTTGTGTTTGTAAGCGTTGTATAAACGTTGTTAGAAGGTTTATAGAGGCATTGTTCTTTTATAAAAATAGTTTTATCCCTACTGAGCTGGTCCGTGCAAATGCTTGTTCCGAAAGTTGTTGTATCCAGTATACAACTGATTCCCGTTCAAGTGATTGTTCACGCGTTAAGGAATACCTCAGTACCGAATTACGGGTGGCGGTACAAGTCCGCCAACGGGCCACTTTAGTTCTAATACGCAAAAAGAAGGAGGTAGACAAGTCCCATTCGACCGAGGCGGTACCACCCGCTAGCTTGTCCGCATGTTTCCACACCTGAGCTACGCAGTCGTTCATCTTCCAGAACAAAGAAAATATTGATGATGGATACCTCGACTACTAAGAATTCCGCACGCAAACGCACTCTATTCTTGAAATGTCCGAGTGGAGGGTGGACTCGAGGGAACATCATCGAAGATAAAATTTGTTTCATGAACATCTGCGGGATTAACAGCAACATTGATGCTGTTCATCACTACTTGCAATCCAATCGTCCCGCCCTGCTTTCTTGGCGGAGTCAAAAATCCTATTAACCATCTTCGCTGCCCAAATTACGATGTGCACTCCAATCTGAGAAAGAACGGTGGAGCTGTGGCTTTTTTTGCGCAGCAGTCTTTCCTGCACCAGAGATGTTTCATTGGAATCAGACCTGAAGGACATACTCGTCAATTCCTCAATTCCAAACATGCCGAAATTCATTTGCTGCCTTTATCGATGTAAGACCGAGCTTAAAACTACAGGCCTATAGCTTTGATTTCTGTTATAAGTAAGGTGATGGAGAGGTGCATAAATCGCGACCTTCTGGCCTACCTCGAACGTCACGGCTTGATTAGCGACAGGCAGTATGACACAGCGCAGGGGGAATTTTCTCCGCATGACCTTCTCATTCGATGCAAGGCCCAGATAAGGCCTAGCCTCGAGTATTGCTCACACGTTTGGAGTGCTGCCACCCCGACTACATTATTTATGCTCGATGCTGTCCAGAGGAGGGCTGTCCGACTGATCGATGACTCTTCTCTAACAGACAGTCTCGGGACCCTTTCGCACCGGCGGGCCGTCCACGATCTAGCTCTCTTCTACCGCTACACCAACGGGCTGTGCTCCTCGAGGGTGTCGAGATTGTGGAACGATCTTCAAGAGGAAGCTTTTCACAGTTCTCCTAACCACTTAGGCAGTTCAAAAATCGGATTAAGAAAATTTCTTTGGGATCCTCGTAGCAGCCGCGGTGTCCCGGCATTTAGGCTTCAGCCTGCGCGGCTGCTTCGATTTATATAAAAAAGAGTTTCTGTATACATTGTTAGGACATTTATGAATTATAAATTGTTAATTGAGTATTTTCCGTGTTTTTGACACTGACAATTTGAGTGGTCTGCAATCATTCCATACCAAAAACGACACGTTCTGCATCAACCAGGCAAAAACGGATTTCATAACCAATTCAGATCTTTTGTCAATAAATCTACTTTAAACGAGGTACGAAGTCGCCTTGAAGCCACTCCAACAGATAAAAGGCTGATGACTATTCAGGGGCTATCAGACAGAATGTGTAGAGCAACTGTGCCCAGAAAAAAGTATGTTTGTGAAAAAATACCAATCATGAAAAATATCATATCCCGCATTTGTTCAAAGTCAACTACAATATGGAATGCTGCCCAAAAATGGTTGCTAACAAAATAATATTCGATAAAAAATACAGATACCCTACCCAAGCATTATTTGAAGAAGCTGGTTCGTTTGATGTCAGACAGTTTTTGATTACGGTTATCACCAGGCAATTTAGGTAGAAAAGTTCCAGCGCAAATGTCTCACACTACCAGACAGAATCAATAATAATATACGAATACCCCAAATTCAGAAACTCAAAACACAAAGAACTTATTCCTCTCTCGGTCCTGTGTTTTATAGAGAAATTCCGAAAGAAATTAAAGAAACTTTCAGGATCAATCAACCAACTTTCAAGGAGTGGCTACCTAATGGACTCAGATCAAAATCAATATGTTATTAGAATAATTTGAATATAATATATAATTAAAGAACTTATGAACATTTGTAAGCTAATTTTAAAATATTGACCTATTGTTATTTTATTGTTAGCCCACGAACAAGGTTTCACGTTTGTAAGCTTTACCGTTTATTTGCTACTTATTTTATCCTTACTTTGAGCAAATAAACATTATTATTATTTTGGATCAGCAGAACGCTGAAGTCAAGCCACATAAAGCAAACGATGGTGAACAATTATGTTATTGTACCAACTTTAGAAGACAAAGCCTTCGAGGTACCCAAAACCCAAAAGAATGTTGGTTTATCTCTCAACCTCCTTAAAATATAGGGCAGTGACATTGCACGTTCTTATGTTGGGTATTTCTTTTGTTTCAGGTAACGTATTTGTTATAACTGCAATATTTATCGACAGGAATTTGCAAAGTGTTGCTAACTACCTCATTGTTTCCTTGGCTGTTGCTGATTTGATGGTTGCTTGTCTAGTTATGCCATTAGGTGCAGTTTATGTGGTAAGAACAATATTAACTTATTCATCAATTAGTGTATGCCATCAACTTTTTTGATTTTATTTTTCAACCTTCTATTAACCCTTCTACATTTATGTTCCTTTTGCAGACCTTCTGATTTAATAAGTAATAATAGTTTAGTAATTTTAAACGCTAAACATTATTTAAGGACGAAGAGCTGTAGAAAAAATAAATTCTGCGTGAAAATAATGTCACACCTTGCATTATTATTAATTATTAGTATTAATGAAATTGTCCGTTAGAATACGTTAAAAGATATTTTTTTACTAATTCTGTAAGCTGTACTTAAAAATCCAAATTTGAGATATTGGATAGTTACGTCAGAAAACGGGATATTGAAAACAATTCATATAACCTAAACTTCTGAAAAATTTGTATTTTTTTGTTACAGATAAGCAACAACTGGATGATGGGTCCAGAAGTATGTGATATGTGGACATCGATTGATGTTCTTTGTTCCTCAGCTTCTATATTACATTTAGTAGCCATTGCGTTAGACAGGTAAATGAATTAACAAAAGCATTACAATCTTTCGCACAGACAGACTCTCTTCTAGAGCTATGTCAACAGGCATTGCTCCTCAGACCTCTCCTCCATGATGTCGCCGCGCGTTGAGCCTGCCAAGCGTACCCGCTAGGCTTCTGCCTCTCATCCCGACTCTGTCGAACTTCGCATATCGACAACTGGCCGGTACGACCACTCCTTCGGTCCTAATGTGTCGATATTGTGCGACAGTCTTTCTGGTCAGGTTTTCCCCAGAACCACTAACCACAGGCAGTTCAAAAATCGGATTAACAAGGCGCCTTCAAATTCCTAATAGCAAACGCTATGCCCCGGTATTTCGGTTTCTGTCTACATGACTGCTGCAGTATAAAAAAATCCTGCTGATACCGAATATATACTAAGTGACATATAAGGCGATCTTCACGGTCTGTTGTTCTACGGTGGCGTTCAGTGCCCCTTGCTCTTTGCGTACGGCCTTCTCGAAGCCATGCCCGACAACACCTAACCACAGTGTCTACACTTCTTTGCACTCTAACTGCAATTGCCCGAAAAGAAAGTCCAGCTTCCCGAAGTCCCACTATACGGCCCCTATCAAACTCACTAAGTTGACGAAATCGTACAGGTCTCCGTACTCTAGGCATCGTAACCGATCGTAAAGGATGTCAAGAACCAAAATCCGCCAACGTTGATTCTTTACTGCGGCTGAAATATTCATTTTTAGAGCGTTAGTGAATTAAAAAAAGCAGTATAAAAACCGGAATGTCCAACTCATAAGGCTGAAAATTTTTTCACTTGTTATTTACAGTAAGATAAATACATTCACCAACTTTTATTAAAATAAAGCCATTTAAACTGGGTGTTCGGATTTATATGTCACTTAGTATACATTGAGCGATTAACGATTCAAAAACTAATATTAAAGCTAATATAACAATAACCCTAAAAAACATTGCAATTTTGTTAGCAGAACTTTCGTTTTTTCGTATTGTTTTTCAGAGTCGAAAATGGCAGATTGCGCAGTTTTTCAGATATTAAATCGCTTAGGTAAATCGCGAAAACTATGAACTAGAGGACAGTTCATAAGAACATCTTTTTGTTCAGAATGACCAAAAAAGAAACCTAAAAATACTTTGTTCAGAATAAAGAAACAATTTTGGTAAATTATTTAAAAAATTGTTTAAGCAATTTTGTACGCAATCTTGGACCTGACAGGCAACATACAGCTTAGTTAATATGGGTCCTTTATGCAATAAAACGAATCAGAATACTTTCCGTGCATATGCAAAATACATTCTGAGCTTATATAGGAGTCTATTGTACCCGAGAATTCGTACTTTATCATTTATGCATTTTATTCTTTTATAGATTTTGGGCGAGTGACAAATGTGGACTATATGCACACAAGGAATAGAAGAAGAATAATTATAATGATAGCGGTAGTGTGGGTAATAGCTCTTATAGTATCATTGTCCCCACAAATACCACAGTTCAAGGATCCTGACTATATCTACAGGATAGAAGTGAAAAAGCAATGTCTTGTCAGTCAAGATGTCAAATACCAAGTGAGTATTGATGTACTTTAAAATGGATATTTACACGTAACAGCGCGGCGAAAGAACTGTATTTCTTCTAATACTTGAACCACCACGAATGCCTGAACACCCGCGGGTACCGTGGGGCTATACTCGTAGGGCGTTCCAGGGGGGACACGTGTGCATGTGAATGCAAACAATCTGGCCCCGCCTTAGAGCTTCGCTATGTGGTACCTCCACGTTCGACAGTCCGATGCCGTCTACGAGCGGCGGACAATGACAACATCCATAGCCAAGAAAAAATTCTCTTGGAACGGAATTCGAGCCACGCAGCTCATAGCGACTGACGAGTAAACACGTTGCTGTGCCGT